CTGAATTTGTTTCCTTATACCCACTCCCATTTGGACAGATGGAATAAACCTCTTATGAACACATATATTTGCAGACTTCAGACGTCATTAACCATTGTGGTGTCGGGCATTGACAGGATACGAATTAGGTGGGATGTTGCTTGAGGAGAGTGTGGGGTTAAACTCTTGCTCCATGCCCATAGGCTGATCAATATCAATCGCATCAGTAGAATTTCAATACAGTTCAATAGGCTCAGAGGAGTGTTGCACTGCTAAAGCAGGAAAGAAGAAACAGACACTGCGTGGAAAAAACCGGGGTTAGTTTCAGTCAGGGTACGCTGGGATTTCGCATGTCTCAGGTTTTTCTTTTGGCTTTGTTGTTCCTGTAGATTTAATTTAAGCATGACTTATAGTATTATATGTACCGAGCCTTGAGGAGGAGCTCAGCTGTGCATGCCCTCTCCGCCCGAGGATGCAGATAACTCTCAAACCACTCTTTGTGCTCCTCTCCACCGTGCTGTCTCTAGCCTGCCTGTTCCACCGCGCTGCGTTACCCTGCAGACTGAGTCCAGACAAAGCTGAGGCTCATTAAGACTTTGTTAATGCTATCACCATTCAAAAACACAAGCACAAAGCTGCAATTATAAGCATTGTTATATTAACAATTGATAAAATGACATTTTTTGCAGTGGCGAACCGTCAGGGCCTTCAAGGTGTTCAGAGAATATCCTGGAACACTTAGATAAAACAAACAAAAAATCGATTTAATTATATAAATAAAATGTAATAAAATGTATATAAAATGAATAAATGAGAATCGTATCTGTGTTGTTGATCTGGGGCGGCGTTGGGTGTGTGTGTCTACAGAAGGTCCAGTTGTGATAGACACGGTTCGCCACTGATTTTTTGTAATATGAATAATGAAATACAAAATTATCCCAGCAAAGCTACATTTCCGCTTCACTTTTTAGCATCTTTGAGCTTATTGATTTGGTTTCACAACTCACAACTTTACTGTTTTGGTTCACTCCCATCACTCCCATCACTCCCATTAATGGTATGGTTGAGACCTTTGATAAGCTTATCAGATACTGTTTGATGTTCCTGTATCAAACAGCAGACAGACACATTTAGTTAGTGACTGATTGACTTTTAGTAAGCATTTAGCAGCTGAACCAACCAGATATTTCCCCTGGGAGTTGGTAACAACTAAACCAAAGCTAGAGAGAGAGGGAAGGCTGGTCCAGAAAGCATCAAATGTACTGTATATAAGAAGAGAAAACACATTGTGAAAGAGTAAAAGTCGCAAAACGTAAACACAAACAACCGCCGGACTCAACAACACCTAGGGAGTGGCCATCCACCCTAAACAAAATCAAATCATATATACAACAACAACAACAACAACATCAGGCCATATTGCAGACTTAAAAGCAAGAAGTGACTGAGACCTAAAACTTGTAAGATAGATGTTAACTTCAGTAATAAATCATTTGAAAAGTACGGTCATTTTCTCATAAACTTCTATACAATCAGACGTATATATGAAGCCAGTTTAGATGGGACCTGCTGGATGTTGAAGAGAAGGTGTGACTTCTATTTTCTGAATGAATGGGTGTGCCTGTGTGTCAGCTGGAAGTGTAAATAGTCAATGGGTTGCTTAAACGTTGAAATAACTTTATTAGGCACTAATGCATGTGTTATGTTTGCAGATTGTTAAACAAAATTAAATAATGCAGCTTCAACAATGCTTATAAAAGTACATTTGAAATTACACATACTGTAATCTGCATTGATGATGATGGCAGAATGGGAAAAATGGGAAAACCTACTATTCCTCGCTTCAGAGCAGATAAGTTAAAGATTTTTTGCCCCATTACTAGCCTTGAAGTAATGGAATTAAGATGCCTTTGTCATGTTACAAATGTTTACACTAGCAGGTAACAAATAATATATAATAACTAAATAAATGTTTTGCTGTAAAACCAGTTAAAAGCTTTACATATTCAAAGAACACCAGATGCTTTTAGCTGATGCCCAACTGTCCTGCTAACAATGTAGATATACAGATACTGATACAGATAATGAGGCAGTAAAGGAAGAAAGAGATGTGAGGAATCAGCGCTATGGGCACAGTAGAGAGAGGGAAAGCAGACCCAGAGCAATTAAAAGAGGGTATAATAACGCAGACAACAAGATCAGTTAGTGTTCAAAGTGAACACAAAAAGACTCCTAAAGAGAGGAAATGTAAAAGCCAAGTTGATTTGACATCCGGCTCAAACGGACTGTATATAATAAATCATTTATAATATTTTCTGTGAGATATGAAATTAGCAATTGAGGGCATAAACTGAAGCTTTTTGAAAACTGTAAAATATTTCCTGGGGTATGAATCAAGTGAGAAGCAGGGTCATTTCCTCATAGGCTTCTATGCGATCAGACTACTTTCTGCAACCAGTGGAGACGCCCTCTGATGAAAAAACAAGGGCAGTCAAGACAGAGAAAGAGAAAAAATGTATAACTTAATTCAACATTAAAAACAACACTGACTCGGCCAATCATTACCACTCCACAGTCATATTTTTCACTGTGTATTGCACATTTCATGGGTCAATCGGATTGATTTCAGTCCTCTTGAAGGTCATCTAAAAGTAGTCAGTGCTAGTCAGATGAAATGTAAAAAAGCAGAGAGACTCTCTAACAGACACACAGTGCTAACTGTATGAAAAAACTGTTTTATTTCCTAAAAAGTGTAAAGTGAATCAGTCAGTAGTAGTTAGGGGTTGTGACATTTTACAAGCCATTTTTTTAAAACATGAACGTGAGCCTCATTGTTGCAATGGAAGAAAAAGTCAGCTGATCACACTGACTTTCCAAAGTCATTAGGATTTTAAATAATATCGGTACAGAACTACACACACACACACACATGCACACACACACACACACACACACACACACACACACACACACACACACACACCACACACACACACACACACACACACACACACACACCCCTGTACAGAAAAAAACCCGGAATAAACCCTGACACCCTCAATGATTACCGGCCCATCTCCAACTTCCCATTCCTGTTGAAGATTTTGGAGCGAATTGTAGCCTCCCAACTACAATCTCACCTTGACCTTACCGCTGCCTTCAACACCATTAACCACTCCATCCTCACCACCCGCCTTCAGTCCTTAATTGGCATAACCAGCACCACCTCAAATCATATCTCTCTGGCAGAAAACAATTCATTTCCATCAACAACTGCAAATCCCCCACTGTTTCAGTCACTCACGGCGTCCCCCAGGGCTGTGTACTTGGTCCCCTGCTTTTCATCACTTACATCCTCCCACTTGGACAGATCAAAGCAACTCCGGTTCCACTGTTACGCCGACGACACCCAACTCTACCGCTCTACAAAAACTATTTCTGCAACCACTCACTCACCAACTGCCTCACTGACATCAAAACATGGATGCAAAATAACTTTCTGAAACTAAACTGTGACAAATCTGAAATAATCATTATTGGCTCAAACTCACTAACCCGCTCCACCCAGGACTTCCCTCTAAACATCGACGGCTCCATCGTCAACCCCTCAACTCACGTCCGTAACCTTGGTATCATCCTTGACCCCGCTCTCACTTTCCTCCCTCACATCAACCAGATCACTAAAACCGCCTTCTTCCACTTAAAGAACATCGCCCGCATCAGACCCTCCCTCTCATCAGACCCTCCCTCTCATCAGACCCCCCCTCTCATCCACCGCTGCTGAAACTCTGATCCATGCCTTCATTACATCCCGACTGGATTACTGCAACAGCTTCCTCTATGGTTCACCTGCATATACAGTATCCTCAATAAACTGCAATATTTTCAAAACTCCACTGCCCGTATGCTCACCTCCACCCGACGCTCCGACCCCTATCCTCCAGGACCTCCACTGGCTCCCCATCAAACACTGGATTGACTTCAAAACAGCACAGCAGTATTTGAAGTGAGCTGCTGAACAGAGCCGAGCTCCAATTCATTAGGTTTCCATACTATGAGTCATGCAAAGTTGAATTCCACCGCCTGTCTATCTGAATATGACTCATACTCACTCAAATTAGCATTCCCCATGCAGCTCAAGCCACAGGCAGAAATGTAGGTTCACTCTGTTCAGGGGGTCACGCTTAATATAGGGGAGAGTGGGGTAAGATCAGCCTATTTTTACTTAATTTGTCCTCTGGGCAAGGACCATTTAGATAGAAGTGAAATGACAATAACAACCTTTACTTCAGGATGTGTTCGGTCAATCACAATTCAAATAATGCATCTATCACAAAGGGCCATGGAAATATGACTTCTAAAACACAAGGGGTCTTGTGGCTGAACTTGCCCCATCTCAGGGGGAAGTTGATCCGAGTCGAGGGGTAAATTGAGCATTTTATACTGCAGAGACTTCACTTCAGTGCCTCTGGGGGGTTAAGTTGAACCACTGGCTCACCCTAAGCAAATTTTTTGGAAAGAAACTGTCTAGCTTAGTCCTTCATGCTAATTGTTAGCTAAATTATCCACACAGTTTTACACCTTGCTAAATAACCAACATGTATGATACATATTTTCAGACCTGGATACATTTGCATTAGAAATCATGTTCATATCTGTGGTATATAACACAACAAGTTTAATAATGCTTAACATGTTAGATGTTTTATTTATTTAGAATTACTATCTTTTGTGAATTGTTCTGAATGTTCTGTAAATATTGTTAAATTGCTAAAATATAATTAATGTAAATATGATCTGGTGATTCTTATAGACTATCATTATCCTACTTGTCATTATGAGAGACGTTGTATTTGTCCAAACCTGACGAATAGAAACAAAATAACCTGTGTGGCAGGATTACGGAAACCAGTGTAAAGATACACTTTTGAAAATACTGCTAAACATAAAGTGCATCATTATGATGTGTCATCAAATGCAATGATATGCTGATTAATGGACAATGTTCTACAAACACTCACCCCCAGCTTGCGGCTGCGCATGCGAACGTAGCCCTGCTTGACGATGTCGTTGAAGTTGGAGGCCATTTTCGGAGGGGGGGTAACCAGCTGGGTGTTGCTGTGGAGACCATCCAGAAGTTTCTTTCCTACCTCAGCCCGTCCCTCTCCCCAGCTTCAAGCGTCTCTGTCCTGCTCGTCTTCCTCTCCTTCACTTCCAATCCTCTCTGTGTCTCTCAGGACTTTGTGTGTTACACTCCCTGATTGGACTCGTTTCTCCTCTTTCATGGAGCTTCACAACTTCAACTCCCTTATGTTTCCTTTTGTCCTCCGCTGGATTTATCTCCTTCTTTGTTTGTTTTTCCTTCGTTCCGTCCTTTTTTCATTCACTCATCAGCATGTGGCTCGTCCCTCCACGGCCTCCTCAGCATCTCTAAGAACTGTACAGACAAAGACGGAGAGGCAGAAATGGATATATATCGTCCATTATTCATGCCGGTGGCACACACCATTATTTAGGGCAAGTATTGGGGATTGCAGCTTGTGACATGTTGTGCTGTAATGTGCTGTTTGCTGTGTGTCTGCTTATTTTCTCAGTTTGATTCACTGTGTGTGTTTGAATTAAGCTCAATGAGCATGTGTAAGCTTCTGTTTGTGTGTGAACTGTGGCATTAACTGCAATTCTCTACAAAGCAGGCAGCATGTATATGGAGGTGCTGTATCCTGGAAATAAAACTCTATAAAGTTTGATCTGTTCTCTAATCACAGCCTGCTTACCCATAATGCCACACTGTTTATTCCTTGCTTCCATCTAGTTTAATTTCCATTTCATACACGCTGATCCCTTCATCTTTTACCTTTAACATATAATGGTTCGCAAAGCCGATGTAGTTACAAGGTTACTGTTACATGCAAACATGGATCCTTCACCCTCAGTTGTCCTCATTTGTTTACGCTGTATACAATAAGTGTGTGAGGTGTCAGCCATGACTCTAAGCTCCAGGTAGCTATATTCAGCCTATTTGAGCCCAGATAAACCCACTGTGCAATGTAAGCTGCAGGCCCCAACACCAAAGCAAATAACTGAACATCTGAAAATCCCTAAATCACTCTGTAGTGTTGGTAATTTTACTGCAAAAATCAAATTCTTAAAAAAACAATTGGGGTTGATTCTTCCTACCTGAGAGTGCCACTGGATGTACAATTATGAGCTTTGTCAGCTTGTTTAAGAGCAAGCAAACTTTACTCATGTACGCTGCATTATTTGTAATACCAAATGCAAAGCTAACCAGGGTAACACATCCCACATGTGCTTCCTCAGATTTGGAGGCCCTGGAGAAGTTTGGATATTTTTTTCAAACTGAAATTTAAATGTTGTTATAACAACATTTATAAGGGTTAAAAGCATTAGTATGGGCTTAGATATGTCTCGTAATTATTTGTGTGAACATAAAAATAATTTGTGTGTAAATATGTGATTAGTACGGAGCCCCTAAAGGGACATAAAACAAAAATATGAGAAAAAAAATAAAGTCCTGACTTTATTATTATTTTTTGAGAAAGTTAGCAATGCACCAAGGAGGAAGTGGAACACACAGGGGACAACCATTTCATTGCAGACTGTTGTGTTTACGTGGGGAAATGACAGTGCATACATTATTTTAGATATATTTAGAACTCAGACTTAATTTTATGGACATTTCGGCCAGGGGTGTAGAGCTATTTGTTTAAGCACCGGATTGGCAAAACAGGAAAGTCTGTAAACCAGTCTGCTTTGATCTATGAATTAATGTCCGTGACTCTCAGAGTACCTGCTGCCCGCAGCTGTTTTATAGGGAAACAAACACTCAGAACACACACACACACACACACACACACACACACACACACACACACACACACACACACACACCACACACACACACACACACACACACACACACACACACACACACACACACACACACACACACACACACACACCACACACACACACACAACACACACACACACACACACACGCGCACACACACACAAACACCATGTATACATCACTTCAGGGGACATTACATTGACTTACATGCATTTCCTGGAGACTTATCCTAACCTTAACCATAACCAACACATGCCTAACCCTAACCCTTACCCTTAACCTTACCCTTACCCTAATCCTAAACCTAACCAAGTCTTCACCCTAAAATGAATGATCCCCCTCATGGGGACCTCCAATTTGTCCCCATAAGGGAAGCCAGTCCCCACACGTGACAATTCTCGAAACTAAGTACTCTTTTTGGTGTGAACGCAAAATTCCAGGCACTAACGGAACTCAACGGGAAAAGTAGGGGTAAAAGTACTCTGGTGTGTACGCGCCTATTGGACGCTGCACTAGGCCCGAAACCATAGGAGACTGTGAAGTCCGCCGCAGACGGACCACTTTTGGACAAAATGTCCTCCCCATTAAAGGCAGCTCTTTGTGGAATAGCCTCCCAACTGAGATACGGGATTGTCCCACTCTCAATAGCTTCAAAGGTCAACTCAAAGAATGGTTGAGAAACAAACATACGTGCAATCACCGCTAAATGCACTTTAACACAGGGGTATCTCCTCTTGCACTTTATGTAGCTCTTGTATCTTCTCTTGCACTTTATATGTCGTTGCTGCTATATTGTACTGCCATGTCATAAATACTTGTGTATGCTGCTCTTGCTCTTTTTGCATATCATGTATTTAGTTTTTGCTATTGTGGCAGGATGAGCAGTAAATAGTGTTGTAAGGCATATTATTTTTAGCCTATCACCGCCAGGGTGCACCCTATAAAGGAGCAGAGGCTTATAGCTGGCGGCCTCTTGTTCGCTGGTGCCCAGACCAACCCACTTCCGTTCTTGCCGTGTTTTGCTTCCGCCACCGGCGTAGGTATGTTGTAGGAGAATAGTTGGCTTCAAGTAAAGTTTCGCAATTTATCATACTTACGTGTAGTCACGTTTTGTTTTGTATAGCGGAGAGTCTTCCTGGCGATGCCCGTCAAGTAGCCGTAACATAGAGAGCATGAAACTCTCTCCTCTCTGCCTGATCGGTATGTACGGCGATTTGTTCAGTCCATTCACCACACCTTTCCTGAACATTAATATTATACTTGTGTGTTTATTGTTAATCTAGGGCCAAGCTAAGGCTTTCTTTAAAGCCTTAGCTTGACCCTAGATTAACAACTGCTGCTGTTTTGCTGCACCGAAAAGAGACGGGTTTCTGGCGCAGGGTCATCACCCGTACTGCTGATCCTGTGTGCTGCTAAGTGCTAGTTGATTGTCTGCGTCTGGCTATCGTGTCTGGTCCGGTTTGGCATTGCCTACGGCAGTATCATCACCTGCCCTACCGATCCTGTGCTGCTGGACACTACTTAGATTGTTCGCTTTTGGCTACTGTGGTTGGGCCGGTTTAGCGTGGCTTACTCTATACTAGAGGTCCGCTCCCCTAGTGGTATTTTAGTGACTGGACTGCTGGGCTAACTCCTTCTGTTTAGTTATTCTTTCCTTCACCAATTTCAACTATTTTGTTTACTTTGTTCCTTTTCATTAATAGTTTATTTTTGTTTATTCCTATTTTCTTTTGTTATTTTCTTTATTTTCTTTTGGCTTATTTTATAATTAATTAGTGTCGATATAGCTTTGGTCAAATCATTGTTTGTTTATATGATAATGGTTTTGGTTTAGGTTTTCTTTCTTTGCTTTTTGCATAGTTTTGTTTATGCCGCATGATTGCGGCTTATTTTGGTTTATTTCATTTTGAGTCATTCTGTGTTTTTGTCCCCCACTTATTGTGTTTTCCCTTGTTTTCCTGTTTTAGTTACTGAGAGCTGAAGGTGGTGGTATTGGTGTCCGAGGTGGTGGCTTCCCCCTTTCCGTGTGCTGTGCTTCCCCCGGGTTTTTGGATCTTTTCTCCGTGTGATTGTGTGAGTGTGGAACACGTGTGACCGGGGTGACTTAAGTTTGTTTTTGTGGGATCCCTCTAATCATTCGTTGACCCTCTCCCCCACTGGTAAGCCTCAGCCCCCTTGTTCGTTCTCCCTTTTGGATATAGCCCTGTGTGACTGTTTTTATAAATTGTATTTTTACTATTGTATACAAATAAACTGTTCTATTTTTGATAATTGAACCACGTCTCTTGTTCCATGAGTAACCGAACCTGTGTGTCCTAGTGACTTAAAACTTGTCACATTTCCCTGGGTGAAATTCCCGGGGTGGCGTTGTCGGACTTAGTGGTTTAACCAAACTGTTAAATTAATATATGTATTCTGCGGCCACTGCTACAAACTGGCGTTGTCGGACTTAGTGGTTTAACCAAACTGTTAAATTAATATATTTATTCTGCGGCCACTGCTACAAACTGCGTTGTCGGCAGGATCTACTCTTTGCTTAACAGAGACGTGTGTTTCGATTGTTCTTTATTTTTGTGGTTGTAAGAAACAATTGTTTCACGCCTTTAAATAATTGTTTTATATTGTGTTCCGAAGCAAAACAGCAGCTGGTTTCTTGTGGACCTGTGGTAAGTCACAGTGTTTATTATTGTGTATTTCCTGTCCATTTTGTCGCCCTATCTCCCTATTTAAATTTTGAACGGGGTAGCTATGGAGGAAGAGTTACAAGAATTGAGGGATTTAGTTGCCCAGTTAAAAGCAGACAATGAGAGGCTGTGGCAGGAACAGGCTGCGGCGGTGACTGGTCCTAATGCTGCACCTCTCCTTGCTGCTCCGCCAACTTCTGTTCTTTCCCATGCTAGTGCCCCTTCAGCGGAGAGACTGGTTTTTGTGCCCTGAGACAGGAAATGTCCCATGTTTAGGGGAAGATCAGGAATAGGTTTGAGTGAATGGATTGAGGAAATACAGGCTTGTATGAGAGCGCACCGTTTGGCTATATCCGATCAGGCATTTTTCCTGTTTGACCATCTCGAAGGAGAGGCCCGTGATGAGATAAAATACCGTTCAAGTGCTGAGCGGGAAGACCCTGTTAAAGTCCTTGCTGTGTTGCAAGAGCTGTATGGTTGTTCTGATTCTTACGTAGCTTTACAAGAGGCTTTCTTCTCCTGACGACAGCAAGAAGGGGAGACTTTCCAGGAATTCTCCCTTGCGTTGCTTAGTCTTATGTCGTCTATAAAGCAGCGGGCGCCTGACAATATGCCTAATGCAGAGGTTTTGCTGCGCGACCAATTTGTAGAGCATGTCATTGACGGTGCATTGTGACGTGAGTTAAAACAGTTTGTACGTCGGCAACCTACTGCAGCATTACTTGATGCCAGGGCAGAAGCAATCAGGTGGGAGCGGGAGGGTTTGCCTGGTGCTAATAGGGGCCGAAGTCACTCTGTCCCTTTAGTTCTTGGTCTACAGTATGGAGTTCAGGGTGGTCCTCAGGTGGTGACTGGCTCCCAGGTGTCTGAACTGAGTGAGATG